TGGACATACTCCGGATTTTCTGCAGGGTAGCTAGAGAGATAAGCCCGAGTTGAGTTACCCTCAACCTACATATACCTGCATGCTCGTAGAGCTGCTTACATATTGCCGCAGCTTGCCTCCTTCGTGTGCCAAAGTTCGACAAGAAGCAGGTGCCCGAAGAGACACGGCTTTTAGCTCGGGCTTTCCTTTGGACTTCAGCAGACCGGCTGCCCTGTGTCCCTGTTGGAATCTCAGGTCCACACCTGCGCGGCTCAGTTCGTCCTGGCCGGTCGGGTCATGGAAACTGAATAGACCGCAGATTCTCGACACCACCTCTAAGCAAAACAAAGGTTGTTGCAGAATTATGTTGGGTCAACGACCACCGGTCCAGCGGTCACGCTTGCCCCCATGACCTCGCAACCCACTCTTGTCTCTCGTTGCCCAGGCCTCGCTGCCGCTGCCCTGCGACGCTGCCGAACTTCGCGGCGAATCGTCGACATAGAGCTGGCAGGACTGTGTTCAACATCAGGCTCGGGAGATAACGAAACCCCACAAAAACAGTGATTACCCCTTTGAGGCGGGTTTCCACATGTCCAACGGCTCGAGTTTAGCTCTGGGCCAATTCAGATTCGGGAGGATGGTCGAAGGACATTGACAGGTGCACATTGAGGAAAGGCGGTGTCGGCCAACATGATGCCAGGCCATTACACACAAATTCTGTTTGCAGTACGAATCAATGATGCTCCCATCTGTCAAAAACCTCTGCCCCCCATCACACTAGTAAAACAAACCTGGTCACAACTGTCTCTGAAGGTCCCCATCTGCAAATGGGATGCCCACCTGCACAGAAGAACTGGTAAAAGACTGCCCCACCAGTTCCTCAGCCAGAACACGGGGCCCTGTGCGGGAACCTGTTCTGAGTAGATTCTGAGTAGATAGCGGGTGTAGCCGTCTCAAGAACGAACTGCTGCTCCAACGAGGGGTCCATGCACAATGGATGTTGACGAAGCCGCTACGGACACGGATCGTCCAGATCTGAGCCCGTAGCTTCGTCTGTGCACAGCTGGCGCATCTCGCCAGGATCACGGACCACGCCGAAGCGCTCCTCTCAGCGGTTTGAGGGTCCAGAGCTCCCACAGAGAAGTTGTGCCCTCGGCTCTCAAGCCCTTGAGGGTGAAAGAAGCGCCTTGATCACCGACCTCCTGGCTTCCCGGCAGCCTCGTCAAGATTTTTTTGGGCACACCCATGTGGCATGGGCATGAGCGCCGTTCAACTGGCACATCACCGAAGCTGTAGCTTCTGATGGCTTCGGTTCTCAGTGTGATGGCCAACTGAGAACATGATCTGATGAAAACCTTACGCAAGGCGGAATGGCGGCTTGGCGCCGGGCAGCCAACGCTCTTCGAAACCTTCAAGCAGGTGGCTCAGACTCAAGGGCTCGGGGTGTCTAGCGAGTCTTGTGCTGTGGCTCATGAATGCCCACCTCCTGGCAACGAACCAAAAAGCAAAAACACGGAGCACGGATTTCAACGCCCCGTGGGCAAAGCTCGATGCGAGTCTTTCGGCTTTGTGGCAGCAGGATTTCCGTCTCAACACCCTCTGAAGCCCTGATCCGATTCCGAGCCCGTCCGAGCCCACTGCGGCGCCGTAACGATGCGGATGGCAGCTCAACTGGTCCTCTTCTCCGACGGAGGAGGCTTCGGGACCGAGTTTTGCAGGCGGCAGCTATAGAGCGCGGGCTTCGACGGCAGAGTCGCCATGGTGCGGACCACTATACACAGTTGGCAGGTCAAAGGGATCGGGTTCGCTAGAGAGCGAAAGGCAGCGGCTGCCTTAATCAAGCTTGTACGGACAGGTTGGGGATGTCGTACGTGGTGAAACCACTGAAACTGCCTGAAACTTGTGACTTCCTTGACAAAGATCCCCGCTCCATCTGTTCAAAACAACCCTTAAAAGCCTACATAGGGTAGAACCAAGACAGAGCAAGAGAAAAGCCCTTAAACGCACAATCCGATCGATAATCTACGCCTTGAAGCATCGCATCTTGCGAAAGTCAGATGTCCTAGATCCCCCCAATCTCACAATGTCCTCCCTATCTCCGGAACTTCCATCTGAGAATATCATCATGATAACTCGCAGTTCGACATCGAAAAACATGTTTGAAGCCCTGCAAACCGTGCCGAAACGCCTCTGCCATGGCAAGGATCAGGGAAGGCTCGTCATAGGAGACCTGAAGAGTGCCAGGGTCTGGGATTCGAGATCACGTTTGATGGGTCTGGACGGGTGGGGTCGGGGTTTAGTCACTTGTGGGGTTAAAGTGGGGGGTTTTGGTTGCGGAATTCGGGGAATTAAAGGGGGCTGAGGGGCGGATGGGATGTTAGGTCGGCCACAGCATGGTGAAGTGTGCCGGAAATGATAATGAAGGGCCGGTGCAGATGGCGGTCTTCTCGTCCTGTTCTTACTGCCACGACTCATATCAGAAAGGGAACCATCGGAACCATAAAGTCTGGAGCAACCATGCGCAACCCCCCCACGAAGTCTTGCTGATATTCTTTCTGACACCTCGAACCCAAGCCCCGGGTTCTTACTCCCGCATCGGTAGCGCCTTAGGGGGCACCACTGCTGAGTGGGAGCCCACGGCGCTGAAAACCTGGCACCGTACGAGCTCATGGACCCTGGTTCGGGGGAGGTTTGGGGCTTTGGGGTTGAGGGGCTTGTTTGGGTTTGGGGCTTGAGCGGCCTGAGTAGTTGGGGCTGTGGGTTGGGGCGGCTTGATGCCTCGGGCTTCGCTCAGAGCTCGCGGCTCTGTCGAAAAACTGCGCTCTGCAGGTGTTTATGGGGTTTTCTGCACCTGACATCGGCCTTGATGGGGGAGGCCCAAAACTTCACAGGAGATGACTCCACCCCTTTTCTTCAGCCCCAAGTCCTAGCACCAAAACCCCTAAACCCTAAACCCTTAGCCCCCTTAGCCCTAAACCCCTTAACCCCTAAACTGCTGCCTTTTTTCTGGGCCTCCAGGGGCCGCTGCGCGCAACGGCTCAGGGCCGCCACCATGGCCAGCGCGAGGTGCAAGGAGGCCTCTGAGAGCTCAGGGCTTTTAATTTATAAGTTGGAGCCTCAAGGGGCCGAGAGGGGGTGGAGAAGGGGGGGAGAGATGCCGTTTTGATTTTGGGGTTTTGGGCTAGACCGTCATGTGTCAATCTCTGACCAGACCTATTGCTGATGTATGCCGGCTTTTTTGTACGACGGTTGGAGGGGTTGAGGCAGAAACATACTCTACAAGCGTCTGTGTCGCGACTTGTTGAGACCGCCTCTGTGAAAGGTCATTATAGGCATAGGGCAAGGTCTTTTTGGATTCAGAATGCAGGAAATGTCGCGCTCCCCCGGATTTGCATGCAGCGTATGGCGCCTCATCAACCTGGCCTTTACCCCGCGTCAGCGTGCTGGCTGTCGACACCTGAGTCACAGCCCACTAACCGCAACAAGCTCACAAGATGGATCGTCGTCCACTCCACAGCAGCGAAGAGCCTATAGCAACCTCGCATGGGAATATGAACCGTGTCCCACGAAACCAAGCCCAACCCCAAACCCTGTCATGCTGCGCCAAGCCCCAAACGCTCGCAAGATCATCGTCTCTGCGTGGGCGTGCCTCTCTGCTCCTTGCTCGCAGCATTCTTTCAAGTGTCTATGTAGAGAGCATCGGAACCCTTGAGGATGCCTTGTAGTTTCGTATGTCGACCTGTTCAGTTGCGAATAGGTACTGTGCATGCACTTGTTCTGCATATGTCTGTGACTACTCTCGGAGAAAAGGTCCATACAGCAACCTCTATAGCACCAGCTGCAGCCACAGGGCGTGAACCGCGCTGCCAGCGCGGCAGCCCATCCGGAGGCCTCGGTGCCGAACCAGGGAGGCCCTTTTCAACCGGCCGCAAAACTTCGGAATCTGACGGCCACCAGCGTCAAGCCCCAAGTTGCGAAGCCCATCCATCAAGACCCACCAGGAAACCTCTGATCCTTCCCTCTTGAAGCACCCGATCTCGGCTGCCGGCATCCCTGGCCGGAGGCGACAGCGCCATCGACTCGCCCTCGCCGGCGGCTGTCTTGCCCAGATCTGTGGACAAGGCACCTTGGCAGGCCGCCCGGCTTTCAGAATACAAACTGCTACGCAGCCGTCTTCGCTGACTGTCTCTTGCTGTGCTTGCCTGTACCGGCGGCGGGGTGTCATTTCCTGCATTTTCATGACCATGACCTACGATTCTCTCAGAGGACCATAACATGCATGTTTACCCCTTCAGACATGTGACGGTCATTCTTCGTGTCTCAAAACCCTAAACCCTGAACTCCAAAATTCAACGGAAGATGATTGCCCACCTTCCAAACCATTGGCCACGAGGTCGAAGTCCCCGAGCGGGCAGCTGACCAAAATGCTGCACTGCTCCTGCAGTTGCAGCAGCCATTTATCTTTGAAGGCTTACGACTTTAAATTGTGAGGCTTGCTCACGGAAGAAGTTTGGGAGTATGAGTGCAAATCTGAGTCATATTACTGTCAGATACACAGACACACACACACACACACACACCCACGCACGCACGCACGCACGCACGCACGAACGCACGAACGCACCCAATGCACCGACGCACCAATGCACCATATATGCTGCCCCAACGCACCAACACCCCAACGCACCGACCCCCCAACGCACGCGCCAACGCACTTGCAAATGCACGCGCAACGCATGCACGCACGCAAAAACGCCTGCAGGCAATCAGGCAATCACGCACGCAGGCACGCAATCCCACACACACACACAAACACAACACGGACTCTCGCCGCATGCATTGATGCAGAAAAATACAACCATCACATTACGGTCAGACAGACTGACAGACGCGTTGACATGTTTCATTACCGCACGAGCCCTAGGACATTGAGCTTGTGAAAGTCCCATCCCCAGCACCTCTATAGCGGCCCGCAACCACCGCATCCTCGAGCTTCACGCTTTAACGTGAGTTTTCTCCAGGACAGTTCTGACTCGCCGAGGCATGGAGCCAACAGTCGTCAGTAACTTCGAGTTGGGGCTGCATGATTGTACTAGCAGTAGCAGGAAGTGGCACTGAGCCGGGTTCGAAAATATAAGCCCTTCAGATGAAAGCTTATTCCCATCGCTCAGCACTCGAGTATGCGTCCCTCGCACACAAGACAGGGCACAGCTCAGACAAGCTTGTGGCACGGATGATCAAACGACCAGGCGAGCGACAATATGACAACACGAAGGCTACAAGGACCGACCCGAACACCGACCAGAAACTAACAAAGGTTGTTCCTGGAGAGTCCTGCCACACCGTTTGTCGGGCTGCTAGATTTTACATAAACGGCCGGGGACTGCGGGAGGTCCGCAAAAATGAGAGGATAAATTAGAGGACAGGTAAGAGCGCAGATGAGGAGACAAATCAAAGGACGGGACACAAACAGACATCCGGACAGTTACGAGCATACACGCGAGGACAGATGCAAACATGGGCGCGACGACGGGCAACAGTGGAGGATACATCAAGGCCACGACAACAGGACGCAAAACAGGACGGGACAACGAAGGAGAACAGGAAGCATTGAACACCCGACTTGATATAGGTTGTGTTCATTATAAGTGTCGAAAAAGAGCAAGGCCCCGACCTAGATCGTAGTTCTAGTTGCAGACAGCTCATGATGCAACAAGGAGCTTCCAAACCTTTGTAGATTGTCATGTCACAGCAGATTGTGCGAGTCACAGCATTGAATTATGAAGCAATGCCGAGCATCGTGAAGAATTCCAGTGTTTTCGGCGCCTGTGTGCAACGACCCTAAACTGCACAATAATCATGTACCACCACATCTAAGACGTGCCACAATTCTGCATGGTGAACACTGACACCTATTTTGTTATTGGAGTTGCCAGGTACCTGTTCAGGATCTTTCGTGACAGGGTGCGGTTCTCAACGTTGTACTATGACACGTTCTGTTGTTGTTGGAACACACCACAAGCAGATGGTACAAAGCTTGATTTCGGTTCTTTGTTGCAGGCAAATTCGGCATTGCAAGTCTGGGCCAGCAGCCAGGGCTATCTACGCTACTCAGTGTGGTTCGTTGTCACGGACAGTGGCAGTTCCGGCTTCGAGAGCACCTTTTACAATCGACCCTTTCAGCTTGAGAACGGAAGCCGAAATGCCAGCTAGCCTTGCCCCCCCCCAGTCTCAGCGCGACATCTTCACTCTCAAGCCTGGACCTCAACCTCGAATCCAAGTCCTGAAAGGCCCAGGACGCCTGGCCAAGTAGATGAACAGGATGTGAACATTGGCTCCCGAGGCCGGGGCACAGGGTTCAGGTTTCAGTGATTGTTGGCCTTGCCCGGCTACGTTTCGTTCTTCATCGCCGATGCTTTCTGGGGGCTGCTGGTAGGGGTGCGGCGGGCCATGGGTTTGGAGTGACTTGTCGAAGTTGTTTCCAAAACTCGCAGCGTAACTGCACGACTGGTTGAAGATGGGTTCATTCTGATGCGTCAACCAGCAAGGCCTAACCAGGTTGGAACCGGATGCATTGGTGATGCTTCACAGGGTTCAGGTCATATATACGCAGATGTTGTGGCCGGGGCCAGTCTCATCGGTTGTGCTTCGTGTCTGACCGTCGCTGACTGTTCGATTAATTTTAAACGCTTCGCGTTGTCCGCCTCAGCCCGGCCAGAGGCGGCGCATCAACTTCCTGCCAGGCAAAAGCGGAAGCAAGGCAGGGGGAGGGGGG